ATTTAAATAAAAAATAAATAAAATGAGTAATAATTTAATTAAAAATTTTAGGCGAATTTACTGAGACAAATCATTGTGTTGTACAGTTTATTGAAACTAATCAATTTGCATCAGTGGGTACTACAATTGCAGCATTTTGGTTGCCCCTTGTTATCATGATTATTTTGTATTCAAGAGTGTACTGTGTTACCAAAAAACAACGCAAAAATATGCTTAGTTTACAGGCTGGTCAGGTAATAATGGATATTTTGCTCTAAGGTTCAAGGGTCATTATTCTGAGATAGTTGGCTTGTTTTAGATGCTGTCTTATTCCATATTGTTTTGTTATTAAGCTCACTTTCATTACAGTTTTAGTTTAAAAGGTGTTTTCAGCATTTTTAGAAGGTTTCCTACTATTTATGAGGTATTTTTGAAAAAATAATTGAGGTTAATTTGGTCAAAAAGTTGTTTGCATTTATTTTTGTATTATTTATTATTTATAATAACACTGATTTATTGCTTACATTTAAAAATCTTATAACTTTTGTAGAATTCAATTCTACAATAATCCATCACATATGAGGTTCTTTATATGCTTTTATTATTTTAATTTCTGTGCTTCCAAAATTTTTATCTTCTTAGCTTAATCCTTCTTTGTATTCAATATTTCTCCGATTTGTTCTGAAATTTTTGAATTTAAATTTAATAAATTACCTCTAATAGTTATTACATTCCGATGTGTTATAAGATTATTGCATAAAAAATATAAGCCGTGACTGCTACAAATAATGCAATTAAATACAAGCTGTGGTTGCTATATATAATAAAATTTTTAGTGTTAAAAAGTAAATATTGTGGAATTAATATTAAATAATATCAATTATTACTAGTGGTCAGGTTACTGTTAAAGTGATTGTTACAGAATCAACACGGAAAATTTAAAAAAGATATACAATCAAGCGTTTCATATAGTTCTCTACGTGGACGACTAACAACCAATTCTTCTACACTTGATTCAAACAAGTAAATATATTTTATGCAGTAATATTCATTTTTTACAAATTTCAAGTATAAAGAATATTAATAAGAATGATTTATAGAATTAAAGGAAGTCGAACTAGTTGTATCAAAAGTAGTTCAGCAAAAGGTCAACAAAAAGGTACAGATGGATTACAAATTAGTGCTGATGAGGGGTCAACCACAAGTACCAATTATAATCATTATTATTGCGCACAAAATCGCTTCAAGCGTTCCCCGCCGATAAGTCCATTACAGAATAATCAGGTGGACATTTCAGCACATGTAATCTACGATTAGTGTCAGGTTTTTTACTAAAAATTTAGTTATTCAAAATACTTTGTTTTCGATTTTTATTATAAGAAAGCTATTTAATTTATGCAAAAAATATTTTGTTTTTGTTTTTTTATTATTTAAAAAATATTTAATTTATTTGTAAAAATAAAAAATCCTATTTAACAATTAATTAATTAATTAATTAAAAAATGATAAATTAAAATAGAAAATGACCAAATGAAATCTTTTTTTTTTGCAAAAATTTTCAATCAAACATTGTTATCAATTGACATGCATAGTTATTTTTTTTTCCTACTCAAATATTTTTATTTTACAAATATTATTTTTCTTAATTAATCATTAATTTGAATTGAATGATTAATTAATGCTGGATATGGTTTTTTCATTTAATAGTAGCGTTTATATTATGGAAATTTCAAATATTATAAAACAAATTTTTGGTACACTTTATTGAAATATTATTAAAAAGGTTAAAATTTTGAATTTAAAAATCTGACGTTTAAAAAAATGCTTTAAATCAAATTTGAATATGCAAATTTTTCTCTCAAATACTTTTTATTTCCACTTTCTTTGTGAAGACTTTGTATATTATTTTTTTCATATTCTTATATTGTTTATTTATTTACCTTTGACACTTTCTGACTGATTAATATGTTCAGTATTGCTATACTAATCTTACTGAGAAACTGACAGTAATTTGTTGCAATAAGCATATAAACTTTAATATCGCTTGAAGGGTATTAAAAAATAATAATAATATATTAAAAATAATTTTAAATACTAAAAGTATTATTAATAATTTTTAAAAAAGTATTAAAAATGTTTAAAAAATTGCACAATTTTTTCCAGGGCATTGAAAAACTTTTACCAAAAAGTATGCCATCATTAAGTGGAAATCGAACAATTCAAAAAAATAAGCCTTCTACTTTGTTTTCTACTTATACTGTTTTAATTGAATTAAAACGTGGAGAGCAGAAACATCCATGCATAAGACTGTCATCTTGTGAATCCGAAGACACTTCTGGGTAAATTATTACTACATTTAGTATTTTAATTTATTTGCATAAAAATTATTAATCTAATATTCAAATTTTTTTTAAAAACAAAATTTAGTCACATACTGATTAATATATTATGAAAAATTTTTTAATTTGGTTTGTATTATTAAGTAACATAATAAGTATTCAATTTTCGTGGTACCATTTTCATTACACTTATTGTTAAATTAATTATTAATAATTATGCAGAAACATCCATGCATAAGACTGTCTTAATCTTACTAATTTCAATTTTGATTACAAATAATAATGAATCCGATTAATTATTATTAAATTTATGTCAGAAAAAATTTGATGTCAAAAATTTGTCATTTTTATACTTGTAATTGAAAAGTAAATTTTTGGTAAATAACAATTTTTTATCGCTCTATAATTTGTTAAAGCCAACAATTATTAATTTAAAATTAGTTTTTGAGTAATAATTTTATATATGTTTGGAGGAATAATTAGTAATTTATTTTTGTACTCAATTTTTCATTAATTTATTTTTATACTTATTTTCTGTACTCACTTTATCAGTAATTTATTTCCATACTCATTTATTGAATAAAATAGAGTTGAATATCATTTAATCATATAAATTTGTTTGAATTTAAAGCCTTTTTTTAATGAAAAAACTATTTTTTAATAGTTTTCATTGCCATATTTATCTCACCAGGCATTTTTCTCTATTATTAATATTTAATTTTTTAGTATTTGATTAAAATTTTTTAAGTTTTCAAATTTGTTAAGATCTCAAAGTTTTGAACCCGACAGAACGGAAGAAATTGTACAAAAAAATCAGGCAGCACCGTCATCACTGCTTCAGCAGCAAGTTTTTAATGGAACAGCTTTAACTGGGTAATTATACGTATTCTCAATAAGTAATTTTTACTCTAAGTATTCTTCTGTATACTTTTATTCTCAATTCTCCTTCACGTAATTTTTATTGCATTCTTTTTGCTTCACGTAAGATAAGATTTTCATTAAAAAAATTACACACACATTCATAAATTCAAAATTTACTTCTATTGACTAAATATTTGCGTGAGAAACAAAAAATATATTTAGCTCAAATTTTAATTAATTTTAGCAATTTTATTAAAACTTAAATTATTACTAAAAAATTACTGTATTTCTAATATCAGTAATGCTCAAGTAAATATGTTGCAGTAATCTTTTGACGCAACAACGTAAAAATGAAAAAGAAAGGCGTAAAAACGAGCGGAAGCAAGAAAGTAAAGCAGCAAAAACGCTGTCTGCCATTCTACTAGCATTTATTTTAACTTGGACACCTTATAACGGTTAATCTTGAAAAATTTGCATATTCAGAATTTTTTATTTATCTTTCAATACTTACAGTATTACTTAAAAGTTTATTTCAGTGATTGTTTGCTGGGAAGCATTTTATAAAAATTCAATTCCTGAAGAATTCTTCTACATTGCTTATTTCCTCTGCTACATTAATTCCACAATAAATCCATTTTGTTATGCATTTTGTAATCCACGGTTTCGACTTACGTATATGCGAATCTTAACGGGTCAATGGAAACGACAACAATCTAGTCTAGCTAATAGAGCTTTTTTCAGTCGAAGCTAACTTTTTTATTGTATTATAACATTATCTCAGTTGAGTCACATTATGCTATTATGTGATACTGTTTTTAATTGCCATGACAAACTGAATTAATATTATAAATTAAAAGTAATACATTTCATAACTAAAGTAATTAATTTCTTTTTGATTAACTCACTTTGTCAACAAATTGGGTATGTTAAGTATTGTATTACATTTGTAAATAAACGTAGCTTACGTGCTAGTTTCTTATTTTATTAAACTTATTTATGAATAATTATAAGTGAGAATTCTTAACTTTGTTCATATCTGTTACAAACAATATAAAGAAAATTTAACTTTGAATATTTTATTTTGATTTTAATCTTTCGATTGCTTTCAGCGAACAATCTCATTGTTTTTGTTGTGAAAATATTTTCTTGATTTTATTACTTGTTTATTTTGCATATTTATTGAATATTACTTTGTTTTAAGTCAGTTTTTGTCTGATTTATCCTTCGCCTTTTCAAATCATTCCAGCAAAAAAATTAGTAAACTTTTTAAAAAATCAATAAAAAATTCAAAATTATGAAAAGTACAGTAGAAAGAATTTATGCAAATTTTCATACATAAACCTTTAATTTACATTTGTACACGTAATTTGTTCCATCATTCAATAAAAATGAATTATTTTATTTGAAGAAATGATTTTATCGACGTTATTAATAAAATTTACTCTAATGTTTCAGATTTTTATGCATAAAAAAATATTAAAATTTTTGATTTTTTGATTATCAGTTTTCTGAAAATAAAATTTCGTGCTTTTTATTTTATTTATTCTTAAATTTATAGCTAAATTTTAAATTAAGCTCCAAAATGTAAATTATTGCAACTAAAAAATAATCTTAGAAATATTTCACGTGGCGGGAAAATTAATTTTTGGTTCTACAAACTTAAAATTTCCGCTTAAAAGTGGTAAAAAAATTTTTAAAGTGTCAATTTAAATACGTGTCAATAAATCCCAACTTTCTAACACTTAATCTTTCAGGATCTATTAATGAAAATCTTTTTAAGCAATAAAAAAATTCCAGTAATTCGATTTCAACAATTCTAATGATCAATTCTCTATTCTGTTATTTGTAAAAGATTTCTTCCCAGTAATAAAAATAATTTATGCTTTTATTAATTATATTAATTCTTAAATACTTTACAACTTGATGTAAATTTTTACACAAATTATTTACCATAATTTAGCTGATTTGCTTTTTTATTTTTAATTTCCCAATTATGTCTTTTATGCAAATTATAAGCAAAATTTTTTAATAATTATTGCAATTACTTCATATTACTAATGACTTTTATATTATTTACCAAAATTAGCATAAATATTCAGGTTTTTGGTACACAGTTTGAAGTTTAATTTCACATTTTATGAGAAGATATTTTAAAATTTTTTAATTTAATTTAGTGAATATTTCCAAGTCTTCACATTGTTTTCTGAGTTTATATTGAAAGACTTACTTTATAGACAAAAATTAAAAACAATATCAAAATATCTCTTAAATCATCATTGAATATTAACTAATTAAAAATTTGACCTTTAAATTACAATTTGTGCATTTGCTATTTCACTGTAATTAATAGTCTAATTACAAATACTATTAATGTTTTTTTTTCCTGATAATATCAAAGTGAAATGTATAAATTTTGATAATAATTACATATTAAATTATTTGCAAAGGAAGAAATGAATAAAAAATGCTTTGAATATTAGCACTAAAATATTTATTATTTTTGGTCAAAATTATTAGTTTATTAAAAAAGTTCATAAATTTGCAAATTATTTTGAAAATATGAACACATTGCATTTTAGTCTAAAATATAAAACCCAAAAATTGATGTTCATTATATCAGAATTAAATGATAAAGTTTTGTCAGCAATAAGAAAAAGAAAGAGAGTGAATGCTCTTGATCTTGATCTCGATCTCGATCTCGATCTCGATCTAGATCCCGATGAAAGTTGCTGTCGATCTCATTTCTGGTCACAGTCTCGATCTCGAGTTTCTACTCTCAGTAGGATCTAAGTATGCTTCATCAATCACTAAGCGTCATCTGTTGCTCACTGATAATCATTTCCACAATTATCACTAATGCTGCATCCATTGTTCGTTTTTATCAGCACTAATTTAAATACTTTTATTAAATACATACAAGTTTTGTAACAAAATCAGCTACTATTACTTGAAATCAAGATATGCGCATATTAATTTATTTTTTATTTGCACAATTAACTGATTTAATTAAAATTTGTACTAAAATAGTTTAAGTAACTTTAGTGATTAATATTTCTTAAAAACGGAAAAAAACAAAGTGTAAATTAGTTAATATTAGCACTAAAATATTTAATATTTTTGGTTAAAATTATTTGTTTATTAAAAAAGTTCATAAAGTTCAATGTTTTGAACTTGAATAAATTCTTGTTCAGCAACGTAAAAAGCCAAGAGAAACAAAAAAGAAGCATAATGTGTGCTTCTTGAAAATGCTACATGCACCTGGTATGAATCCGCTAGTTCGAGAAGACGATAATGGAAGAACTTGCCGGATTAACCTTACCATACCTGTATGCAGAGGATACTGCCCAACTCACGAAGTTACAGTCTTTTTTTTCATGATTTTTTATTAATTAAAATTTATCACTTAAGCATTTACGTAAAATTTTCTACTTGTTAATTCGGATTTGAAAATATAAAAATTAATTACAGTTATGATTGAAAATAAGCATGCTTAGTACTACTCAAAGAAGCAGCATTTTCAGTATGGAACTCATGAATTCCCTTATCGAAGCCAAAAAAGTGAAGTATGTGTTCCAGAAGGAGGCGTATTTGAAGTATTACCAATGACTGAATGTGATAAAGATGCTAGCCCCGAAATACGTAATGTAACAATTTTACGTGGTGCGAAATGTGTATGCAAAACGTAAGTTAACGATTTTTGCATTTCTTTCAATACTTTTAAAGTTAAAAATTAACATTTTTATCACAGTTTTTTTTAAATAATATAATGATGAAGCGTGTTATATTAGATCAAAAATAATACTATTTTTTACACTCAAAATCTCTTTTTAATTTGCATAATTTATAAATATTTAGATCGAGAATCTAGATAACTTGAAAATTTATGCAATACATAAATAAAGTATATTACTTCAAGAAAGAACGGACACATGATATAGTTCTTAATAAGAATTTATTTCTGAAACTAAAAACAAGACAAAACTATTTAGTCATCTAAGTGCTAAAAAAAGAATAGACTAGACTAGACTAATTGTAAGTAGTCTTAAGACTTGAATCTAAATAAATCAGATAATCTCATTACTATTATTCAGAATTTCCTCCTGATATTACTGTAGAGCAATTTAATTAAAAATGAATTTTAAAATTTGTCACTAAGTGAGCTTTTAATTTTGTGATTATCATTGTTATTATTTAGAAGTTTAGAACAAAAGTAAGTGAAGAATTTTGCAAGATTTTTGGTTTCATATCAAAAATATTAAAATAATAAACATTTCATGAAACCATTTTTCATTCACTTTAATCCCTTAAATTATGAAGCAATTTTTGTTTCAGATGTGACAAAATACTCATGAACTGTATGAAAAACAGTTTATTCAACTGATTCTGAAACTTCAAGAAATCAATCTGAGAAAATATCTGCTGAAAAATATTTATTTTCATAAATTAAGATAATTAATAAAGATTTGTGATAATTTTTTCTGCTCTGTTATCAGTGAATAAAGATAAGTTTTGATGGCTCCTAAAATATGCTTCATTTATACTATTTCAAACAAAATTCGAACATTTTAAAAAATTTGCACTGTTATTTTAACACGTACATTAATGACACTTTTTCATAGAATCTAAGACCAATGCTATGAATTCTCACAAATTTTAAATTTTCAGATTTAATCACCAAACCATTGCTGAGGAAAATTGATTAAAAATGCAAAAAATAAACCTTTTTTTTAGCAAATATTAAACAAAAAAAGAATATTTTTCATGTTTTTGAGAAAAACGTGAAAAAATTACGTACAACGTCAAATTCTTGACAGGTAGCAGTCCTTTATGGTTTGTACATTTTTGAAATTCCAGTAAAATTGGATTACACAATGACTGTTAAGACAGTATGAAGACAGAGAAGTGGTTAACCACCCTCGTCTAAATATAACGCTTCACGCCTGGGCTTACTTTTATATGTATGAAACTCTGCGTCAGCTTTTTATTGCAAGTACGTTAGAAAATTTACATCAGATTATGAGAAATAGAGACTAATGATTTTCATATCGAGAGTTGAGTGGAACTCTATGAACTATTGATTGCGTCAGTTAATGGTGCCAGATGAGGGTGTTTGTAGAGATCAGACAGATTGGGGAGGATCCTCTCTGGATGTAGAATCTGTATTTGCGGTCTGTAAAGGATCAGTGAACTCCTCATGCAGAGCAAACTGTAGTAATGACACTTTCGTGAAGAAGAAATACTGACCTACCTCAGATTTCAGGTATGTGTCGATGAGTAGTTTGTATCTCCGACAGCATCACTAAATGTTAGAAGATATTTCACGGAGTTATTACCATAGATTGTGAGTATAAGACTTTACAGTCTCTGAAAACAAAGTTAGCAAATGTTTGATTATGAATGATAATTGATTTCGTTATTTTATTAGACATAAGTAGTTTTATCTATTAATTTTTGATTAATCTAATTCATATTTGCAGTATTGCTTATTATGTCGATGCGTAAACGCACGAAAAAGCTAAATATTTCGATGCCAACAAATTTTGAGCATCGTTATCATGCAGGATATGATCCAGTTACTGGTCAGTACTATGGGTTGCCAAAGGTATACTAACTGCAAGTACCATTAAATTTTACGTTTTTAGACTTGACCACATTAATGATGAATTTTTATGAAAAAAAAATTTCACTGCTTTGGTTAATAATACATAGTTTTTTTAGCTATTAATAATACTTTTACTGTCTTTTCTTTGCATGATTTTCTAGTTTTGTTGTTATTTAGCAGTGGGAAGCCATCATTGGAATAACGTCTAATAGGCGTGGTCGTCGGCGACCTATGATTGATCCTAGTTGTATTACTCCTATGGAAATTGCAGAAATAAAGACACTTGTTCGTGGCGATCTTCCACAGCAATCCCAAAAATGGTATAGTTATAATATATCTTTCATAAATTTTTCATTAATTAAGTAGATGATTGAAAAAAAAGATCAAGTTTTTTCAGTTTCATTGCACTATTTTTTCAGTTAAATCTTCACATCGAAGTTTTTTTAGTTCCGTTGGTGATTTTTGAGTTCTTTTCAGTAATATAATGATGAATAATCAGTTACCTGATGAACCCATTAAAGTGCGTGATGGTTTGGGACGTATGGTACGAATACCTGAAGTTTGGACGCCTCTTCCGCAACCGTATGTTCTAGTTATCGCATACATGAATTTAAAGTTTATGGAATTTTAAGTTTAGAAAATAGAATTGCATCAATCTTTAAGTTAATTCTACTTATCAAATCAAGTAATTATGTGTAAGTGCAGAGTATGGGTAAATCTCGTTGAATTGCTTTTTTGCGAGCTCACTGCTGTCTTGTAAAAGTTAACAATCTACATTTCTTTAATTGCTGTCTTATAAAGTTGACGATTTATATCTCTTTAACGATTTTCTTTACTATTATTGAATTGGATACTTTTGCACGAAATATCCACTCTTTTATTTTAAAATTTTAGTCCCTTGTCTGGCTCACTTTATGGTACTCAACCAAGACGTCGGAATCATAATCCTCATTTTACCATTCAGAGATCTGGTTCAGTAGAGATGGGTAGGCCGCAAATCAGAATAGGACATGATGGTAGGAAGTCGAAATTATTGTTGTCTAATTTTTTTATAAAACTAGTGTACTACTGGGTTGACCAAATTAAATATTCGAGGAAGTTATGTGCACTGTTGTAGAGCAGTTTCTGCTTAATAAATTAGTTATAAATCATTTTTTCTTACGATATTTTGGTATTTCAGATATCCACCATTCCATTAAGTCAGATCGCGACTCTGTTGATCCTTCACAGTATGGATCTAATAGCATGGGACAGCATTCACAAAGTTATGCTTCATCACAGCAATCAAACTCGAATTACTTGAAGGAGGTAAATTTTTTTGAAAGGTACAGTGTTTACAGATTTGCAATGATTTTTTAGAGCATTTTGACGAATTCTGTGTAAAATATCAAAATTTTAATGCAATTATTTCTTAGATAATAAAAAATCATTTTTCTGTTGCATTTCAACTTGTCATTGTTAGTTTTTCCAAAATTTATTTTTTTCCACATTTCTGTTAAATGTCCACTGTTATTTTTGTTGCTAATATAAGCATTCAGCACGCCAAAAATTTTCAGCTCAGAACTGAATTCTTTCCTTCGGTGTCTGCATTACATTATAATGAAGCATCAGCGTACAGACCTGGTAATTATTGCGTATTCGACAATGTACAACAAAAGCTAGAATCATCTCACAATCGCTTATCTCTCGATGAGGTTATGAACTAGATTTTTTGTTTTTTTCTGTTTAAAATGCAAAGCAGCATTACTTTTTAGTGTTATTTTATGAAATCATTTGGGTAATTAAAGACAAGCTTCATTTCATATATTTCATCATATGCTTTCTTTTGCTTGTAATTATATGAATATTGAATACTAGTTTTTTTCACTTACTTTGCTCTCTTTTGCTGTAAATTACCATTTGGCAATGAATACTGAAAATAAATTTTAGTTTCGCACTGCTTTGAAAATGGTTGTCTCTCCAGGTGATCCTCGAAATGATTTAAAGAATTATGTGCAAATTGGAGAAGGTTCTACAGGTATTGTCGTTACAGCATCACAGGTACAAATTAATGAATTTTTAAACAGCTTTTTTATTATCATAAATAATACCACGTAACAATATCACATATCATCAATTTTTATGTATTCACAGTTACTGTTCGAAGAAATTATAAGTATCGTCATTTAAGCATTATTTTTTATTTGTGTTGACTGCTGAGATTTTTTTCCATATTTTCAGATCTTTTAGCAACACTAATTAAGTGTTTTTGTAACAATAATTTTTGTTTTTTAAGGTTTCAACTGGGAGAAAAGTTGCTGTGAAAAAAATGAATATCTTGAAGCAACAGCGAAGAGAATTACTATTTAATGAAGTAAGTGACTTCAAAAATCGTTGTGCTTGAAGTCTTTGAAGGACAAGGTATTGATACATCATTGAAGTATTTGTCTGAAAAATTTCATTCAAGTTCTTTAAGGTGGTAATTATGAGGGATTACCAACATCCAAATGTTGTTGAAATGTATGGGTCATATTTAGTTGGTGATGAATTGTGGGTATTGATGGAGTACATGGAAGGCGGAGCACTGACTGATATAATTACTCAGACCAGGTTTGCAGAAATGTAGACTTAATGAAGTTTTCAACAATTTGGTTATAACTGAGTCCTTAACATTTTGGTCATTTTGATGAAGCATAGTTTCGAAAAATCATGCTTTTTCAAAGTTTTTCACAGTTGTTCTACCTAGTCAGTATTTCATAGCTGTAAATTTTATGTACTTTAGTTTTACAAATTATTAATTTCCATTCAATGCTAGGATCGACGAATCTACAATAGCTACTATATGTGTTCAGTGCTTATTAGCCTTGGAATATTTGCATTCCAAAGGTGTCGTTCACCGCGATATCAAAAGCGACTCTATATTACTTACTAGAGATGGCGTGGCAAAAATTTCTGATTTCGGCTTCTGTGGCCAGCTGTCAAGTACTGTACCACAACGGCATAGTCTAGTTGGAACACCGTATTGGATGTCTCCTGAGGTTATCTACATTTGAAAGCTCTTTTGCTACTTTTTTTCTTTGTGTTTGCAGTATTATCGGAGTTTAATTGTGCTATATAAATAGTATAATCGATGCACTCTTTTTATCATCTCTTATTGTCTTTGTTGTTAAGAAATTTTCATCATAAAAATAACCTTATATTTAGGTAATCAGCAAGTTACCTTACGGTACTGAAGCTGATATCTGGTCATTAGGTATAATGGTCATTGAAATGATAAACGGCGAACCACCGCTTTTTGATGTACAGCCATTACAGGCAATGAAAATGATTCGCGATAATCCTCCTATAAATACTATTGAAACTGCAAATGTAAGGACCTCTATTATTTTAGACTTTTCTATATGTTGTTCACAACTATTTTTTGAAAATTTTTATCGTCACTCATAATTTTTTTGATTTTCAAAAGTTCAGTTTTCTATTTCTAGGTTTCACCTGAATTGACATCATTTATTTCACTAATGTTAGTTCGCGATGTCCGAAAACGTGCTACTGCTTCTCAGCTGCTGAGACATGAGTTTCTGAAAAAAGCATCTACTCCATCAATTTTGTGTTCCTTTATGAATATTACTAGGAGTCATTAAAAGTATCTTTTTACATCTCAAAATGCTTTTTATCATCTTAATGTTTTCAGATTTGAGGTTTAGTATTCTGATATCTGTTCGATTTTCAAGATCTGCTGATATTAAATGAGATTACGATGTTGAATTTGAAAACATTTGATTGAGTTGCGCAATTAGTAGATTGTATCGCACAGTATGTAGTTATTCTTAGCCTGGCAAGAGCTTCGATCTTACTCGCCAGTTTCATATTTATAAAAGGCAATTATCGTTGTAAAATTTTCTGTATATTTTATTGAGACGTTGAAGATAGTTGTTGTTTTTTGCGAATTCATATTCGCATTTGTTACTTATCAGTTGTCAATTTGTTTGGTTGTTAATTATTGTGTCTTTCGTTTACTTTCAGCATTTTTAGTAAATGCTCAGATCTATGATGAAATTTATTTCTGTAATTACTGGAAGCAGTTTGACCTATTTATGTGTTTCAAGTAACTTTGTTTTTTTGAATTCCACATATGGTACTGTTTCCTCATTTCATTTTCATTTGTGATATCTATTTTGTTGCTTGCAATTCGACTTACATTAGTCAGCTGCTTTATTTTTCATTCTTCTATGGTTCACTTTTAAGTGAGATAGATGATTTTCTACCAACCTTGTTGTTTAAACATTCTGAGGTTTAAAAAAATATATCACATAATATTCTTGCTTCGGCAGTGAAGATTAATGATATGCTAATTAATAAATCACACATAGGATTGTAGTAATTGTTTACTCTCAGGAACATCGTAAGCTTGAGATCTGCATAATTTAGCCTAATTGGCTATTATTAAGTCAGGTTTATCGTTTGATTTCGGTATTTTACTTTCATAGGTAGCAAGAAAGTGGTCGAGACTGATGTTGTTATGACTGATAAGCAGGATCAGGATGCAAGAGCTGTTAACTGGAAAGGTCCGGAGTCTAACTTAGTAGATGGAGTAAAAAGTGGGGTAGACAATAGATTTGATAACAATCGGAATAACGATTTAGGAAATTCAGAAGCAAAATCTGGGAATTTAGTAAAAATTGGTGAAAAAGAAGCAAAACCTGAATCGAAAACATCTCGTAGAATCAGATCTGACGGGAATTCAAAAGTTAAATCAGATGGAAGTTTAAATAAATACAAAAATAAGATTCTTTATACTTGTGATGAAAGTAATGATAACCGTAGTCGAGAGCAATGTAAACGTAAAATTGGTCGATTTATGGGACGTTTTTTACGTGGAAGAAATGATCATCGTAGTGTTACTACTACTTCTAAAGGTACTAAAAATATAAAAGTAGAAAAAACAAAAAAGTATACAAATGCACCACACAAAATATGCGATGGAAAAGTCGACAAAACGATAGATGTCGATGAATCAAGAAGTAATTCACGTGGATTATATAGTTCATCATCAAAAACCGCAATTGCTAATGATATACAGAATTTTGAATGCAGGGAAAGGTTGAAATAAATTGTTTCTTTTAGATTATAAAACTTAACAAAAATTTTAATCATTGATCGAGATTAATATACTGGAATTCGAATTTTCCAATTTCAAGTAATTATTATATTTTTAATTTAGTTTTGTTTTATTTTTAGCTATAACTAACAATTTTAACTTTTTTGTTTTGTTTAATTTTAATTTATTCTACTTTTTTTTTTACTAAATAATATGCTACCTAATACATGATATAGTTTTATTTGATTACTATTTTAGGATGATGCGAAGGAAGCCTTCAGGTAATATTTGAACTGTGAATGTTAGGCTTGTACTTGTAAAGTGTTAGATTTGATGTCGAAGTATTTATTTTCACTTCGCAATTATTGTGGTTGCAATATGCTTTGTCTTTAAAAAGATTTCAAGTTTGTTATTTCAAAGATTTTTTACTTGTAATTTTGATTCTCTAAACTGAATATAGCAACAAATTAATCAGAACAACGAATCAATCAAAATAACAAATCAGTTAATAAGTCAATTAGTTCAGATGTTGTTTTTCTGTTCTGAGATCAAAATAAACTTTAGATAAGACAGTACAAAGACTGGAATACTTCTCATCAGAAGCTAAGTCTACAATGCGAAAATGGCTTGCCACTTTATCAGAGGTTTTACTTCGTAATTCACGTGTTTATTTTTTTTTTTGCATACTTGACTAAAAAATTTCTCTAAGGTGTCCTGAATTTTAATTATAGACTTATTCAAATATTTTTTTTAAAGATTAAAATTGTTTCATAAAAATTTTTTCTATTTGTTTTTCATTTAAATTTTGTTTGTATTACATATGCCAAGCAAAATATTGAAGTTAATACTAAATTTAAAATTAACACGATTTATCTATCTGTAGAGAGGTGTGAATCAGCTTCGGAAGGATTTTATGGAGTTGAAATCTTTCGCGCCACCAAATCAGGAAATTTCTCAGTTTACTCTCCATACAAAACTAAATCGTTATAGAGGTAATTGGAAAATACCAAAACTCTTAAAAATTTTATTAAGTACTCAATACTGATTTGAATTTTAGCTGTAGACTTATCCAAATATCTTTTTTTAAAAGACAAACTATTTACAGCAATTAATTCAACTAACTTGCATATTTCTATTACTGTATTTACAACTTTTTAATTGCTAAATAAAATTTTTATTTAGAATCAATTTAATAACATACTTTTGAAGACGTCAAATGCTACGATAGTTCACGTGTTATACTGACGTGGCCAAAGGAAAATACAAATGATTTTATTCATGCAAACTGGGTAAAACATGATATGCTAAGCAATGTATTCATCTGTACACAAGTCAGTTTACTGTTATTCTTATTTTAATATTTTAATCTTTGACTAATATTATCTCTGTACTTTATTTAATAAAATTTTATTACCGAAAAATTAATTAATATAATTTTAATTGAAAAAAAGTTTAAAAAATTATTCAAATAAATTATTACTTTATTTAATTGTCTACATTTTAATGATATGTTTAAGGCACCAATGGATAATACAACCAATGATTTTTGGCGTATGATTTGGCAAGAAAATGTACGTTATATTATTATGTTATGCAAATGTATTGAAAAAAAAAGAGAAAAGTGTTTTGCATATTGGCCACAACTTGCTGGTCAGTCATATCAATTACAAAAAATGGATGTAACAACAATGAGTGTCAATGAATCGGATTCAAATGTGGTAGTTTCCAGAATAATTCTTCAAAGTTTGTATTTTTCAATTACTGTATTTATAATCCTTCAAAATTCGTACTACTCGATTATTTGAATAATATAAATTACTGTATTTATAACCCACTTAATTAATTTGATTTATTTACTGCAAAATTAAATTTTTAATCCATTTGCAAGCTAATTCAAATGAGTAAATAGTTTTGAATCAAAGTTATTTTCAAAAATTCTTTCAAAAATTTATTTTTACTCAATCACACTATCTTTTCTACATTTTTTAAATAGATTCATAAATTTATGACAAAAAAAATAAAACTTTACTTTTAAAACTTGAAAATAAATTAATCATTCTTATTAAATTTTTTTTTTACCTCCAAGTTTTTTACCGGCCAAAGTCCGTCCTTTTTTAGGTGGTGCAGAAAAACGCTGCATAGTTCACCGTCAATGGAGGACATGGCCAGATCGTGGGGTACCATTAACATCTATGATACCTTTCCGATTATTACAGTATGCTCGACAAGACAAACATCATCCTACCGTTGTTCACTGCTCAGCTGGAATTGGTCGTACTGGAACATTAGTGATGATCGAGATCTTACTTGGGTATAAAATTAGTTTCAAATATTATCCTTCTATTCAGTATACTCATTTCTGTTAATTTTTTGACGAATTTTTCTAACTTTCAATTTCACATTCAAAAATTTTTTTGTAGTTTCTATATTAGAATTAAAAAAAGAAAGTTTGAAGTATAAAATCGAAAATGTGAATTTATATTCACAAACAATGTGAAAAATAAAATCTTAAAATATTAAAATAACTTTTAAAATAATACTTTAATATTTTTATTTTGAAATAGTAAAGAAATGAAAAAATATATAATTATACTTTAATAATTTACAAATATTAGATTATTACTTTTTGCCATTTTTGTTGCTTGTAGTTACCATTTCAATTTTAGTTACCAGTTGAATAGATTAAAAAAATTTGACTAAAGTTTTTAGATAAAATTTATTATTATAAAAGTATGATTATTTTGGTACTTCATAGTTTGAGCAGAATAGTTTGAAAAATGATGGTAACTGCTTTACCATTAGAATTTTGATTTCTGTATTATTATTCACAGGGCGCTGAGGCGTGGACTTGAACCTGATTCCAAGCAATTTTTGAAAGATTTACGGACGCAACGTGCGCAAAGTGTTCAAGTTGAAAGTCAATATATTTATGCGCATTATGCTGTTGTACGAATACTTTCAATTAAGAAAATTTTACGTTTACAGGATGCTGCTAGCAAGTTTTAAGCAATATTTTATCATACAACTTCAATTATTCGTTAAAAAGATACTTATACTGGAAAGAATTACTAACTGCTTATTGGAGACTGAAATGATACAAAAACCTTTATTTATCTTGATTAATCTTAGTAAATAATCTTGATTACTCTTTATTATACTCAATTTTAATAAGCTAAAAAGAAACAGCATCTTACTTAACATTTTTTGGCTTGACTAACCATGAATTATTTTTTATATTCATAATTTTTGCTTAAAAGAATTACATGGAATAATTATGAGAAAAATTTTTAAAAAAATAAAATGATTCCAAAGTCTTCAAGTTTTAAAACTGTCACATAACTCAGTTGAAATTGTACAATTCAGAATTTTGTGATCAATATGTAAGTTATCTGGATAAGCTACGTGACACCGCTCGTACTGCTAAATCTGAAGCCAGGCATCGACGTTCATCTAATGTCATAACTTGTTCTGAAACTAATGAAAGCGAAGTAGCTGGCAATCGGGATAAAGCAGTACATGAGAGTGAAGAAAAAATTCTCACGTGCGAGTTTACCGAGAATAGTCGTAAAAAAGAGGTATTCATACTTTGAGCAATAGCTATAATGAGATTATTGAATAATATTAATATATCAGAATCGAAATAATCGCAAATATTTATTCCTCGACAAAGTTTAGATTTATTCCAATTTATTCTTTATAAGTAATTTCAAAGGGAGATTCAAAGACAAAGAAAAGTACAGAACAAGAAGTTGCACAGAATGGTACTGGAAAGCAGAAGGATCATTTTCATGAAGGTTGAACTTACTTACATCTTTAATCTAATATTTCATATTTTTGCTTATTAACTGGATTAATATTTGTCCTAAAAAACTATTAAAAAGTAAAAATTGTCAAAAAATTGAATAATTAAAAGGAATTATTCTTCACTAATATTGTTTAATTTGAATTATTGTTATCCATAACTTTGTATTCATTATTATTATTATTATTATTATTGTTTATTCGTTTGTTTGTTTTTGAAAAGGAGGAGCATGTAATGAAAGACTCAAGCTGATTGAAGATGATGAACTGATAGTTTGAAGTAGATTCTAATTTTTTAATTAAGAATGATCTAAAAAAGATTTTTTTTCCTATTCAAAACGCTAATTTCTATTATTAAAATGTAAAGAAAAATTAAATTTTTGTACATTTTCAATGTTTTCACGACTTCTTTTTCAAAAATAATAAAGCAATTTTAGAAGAAAGATATCGATGGAATCCAAGTGATCCATTAGCGCACGGTAATTATTTTGAATTCTTTTCAACAATTTTATTATATATATTTTTTGAAAGGTTAAATTGGGTTAAATTTCAACCTAAATAGTTTGAAATAACAACACTGTACAAATTTTTTGTAGCATTTTCATTATTTACAGTTTTTTTGTAAAGATTTGAATGAATTGTTCCAAAAATTGATGTCAACTTTTTTTTTTACTAAAGATTCAATGTGATAAAAATTTTGTTAATTTTAGAAAAGTCATTATTTACATCAACAAACGGTGAAATGATAGTCGAAATGCACAATAACGAAGAAAAAACCTTTCATACGCAGGAAACAGGCAAGAAAATCTCAGTAACAGATAATTATAATTTTTTAAAATAATGATAAAATTAAGAAAAAATTAAAAATTATCATAGAATTAATGAATTATATATAGGCATATATATACTTCAAGAAGGATGTATATGCTTATATATATATATAGCATTTTGATAATCTCTAATAGAAATCATTTGATTCACCTTATGTCTTAGTTTTACTTACTGTAAGCTCAAGAAACTTTAAACTTCACATTCATTAATAACACTAATTAGTTACTTCTCACGACAAGACTTATTCCATCTTCCATTTTATTCGAAATAGGACGGACGACATTTCAATTTTTTTTTCAAATATTTGTAGAAAAGACAAAATTTTCAAAACCATTTCTTATAATATGAAATGGCCTTGGCTTAATTTTGTTGAAATAATTTGACTTGAAAACTTTCAAAGTAATTTCACATGATTTGAAAAATCAATTCAAAATTGTTAATTTCTGCTTTTCACTTATATAATTATTTTTGCTCACAGGTCCAGAAGATTTCTCAAAACAGTTTGAAGACAACGCATCACACGTAACTGTTACTTTTTGCATAAATCGAACTTATTCTAAAATTGGCGGTTTATTCTAAGATTTCAAATAATACAAGACTTTTTACCAATTATTTTCATTTTGTATAAGAACCTCACTTAGAAGTCAAAATTTATCCATCATATCCTGGTATTTTTTCTAATAAATTAGAAAAATACCTTACTGTTTGTGAAAATTTGCAAATTTTTTGAAGCAAAAACAAAAAATCTACTGATAAACTAGTTACAGACTTCTCGAGCTGAATGTTCTGCTTCTCAAGAATCGTTAACTCATGTGGCTAATGATGAGAATGAAATAGGTAGTGCATGTGATCATAATTTTGCTATATTACAGCCCTAATCATTACTAAAATTATTCAGCTCAAAACTTTAAACTTGTAAATAATGAAGCATTATTAATTTGATAACTTAGTGTCATTTATCACTGTAGAAAGTGAAGTAGATCTCGAACGTCAAGAGTATTTGGAATATCTAAATCAGCTAAAGCAAGATGAACAACATGAACAAGAACAAGATCATTTGCTTCACCAGCAATCTACATCAGAGCAACGCTTTGTTAAGAGTTGCTATTATGGACAACCATAAATGGAAAAGATCGTGATAGTCTAGATCATATCTTGACAGTGATTAAGTCAGACCTTGACAAAAAGAAAATCGAATTGTGATCAAAATTATTTTTAATTTTAATTATTTATCGATTACATTTTACTTATAGAATTGATATATTTTTTCTATGAGATGTAATTACTAAGTAAAATTTCTCAAACTTAATTCTAAAATAACAATAAGAGTTATTTAAGAAACCATTACTAAACTGACAAATGTTATGCTATTAATTGTTATTACTGCATTCATAATTTGCTTTTCATAATAGAAAATATAAATATGAACTATAAAAATTAGTATGTGAATATGCGTGTACTGTCAAAATGTAAAAATTAACACGTAAATATGCGTGTACTGTCAAAATGTGAAAATTATATTAATAATATTTAAATTTATTTATTCAACAAACAATGATTGTTGTTCGTCATATGAATACATATTAAGCAATGTATAGCTGAACAGTAATTTAAATTTTCGCTATGAAAAAAGCATAAAAAAAGTAGCGATTATTACACAGATTCTGCGACTGCAGACCATTCAATCGACCTGAATATCAATGAGAGAGTTAGAAGGATATGTAGTTAATATGCAAAGTAATTGTATACATTCATGTAATTTTAATCAAATTTTTTGAAGTATAACTAAATTTGCACAATTAATATAAGTATGAATATGAATGTGAATAATTAAGGCACTTGTAATGAGAAAGCTATAACAAAGCATTAATAGCGTTGAGAAGGAAGATAAGTTTGTACAAGTAATAAACAAATATTTTAACGATCAAAATCTAACAACAACAATTGAAGTATGCATATTTATTGATTGGATATATATTAAAGTTGAAGAGAATTAACTAGTAATTAAATTAAGTTGTAACCTAAGTGATAACAAGTATATGTATAACTTTAGTTGTATCGTAAAGAACTAAAAAGAAAAGATGAAAAATTTTTAAAAATATTGAATTTATTTTAAGCAAGCATTGTGGCTTAGTTTAATTATCTAAAAAAAATGACAAGAAATTTACAAAATTTGAATTTTTTTTATAATAATTTCAAATTATTTGTACAGATTTTTGAAAAATTATTTCCATTCAAACTTTGCAATAAAGAAATTTTTTAAAAAATAAACTTTTTTTTTGTAAATAATAAAATGCTATCTACAGAATGCTTCTTAGTTAAAGCGCGAAATGAATGTTCTAAGATGGAATAAGAAATTTTAGTACAAAAAAAA